AAGAACACAGTGAGATGATCCGATGGCCACAACGCTTGACCAGCGGTGGAAGCGGAAAGCGAAAAATAAGAGAATGTTGCAGGTGCGTCGACCTGCGCTTATGGCGCACCCATAACAAGGACACGTCGGATAGCGGACGAAGACAGTTCACAGTTTACGAACTCTAAATACTCATAATTTGTACGTCCGCTCTACACTGCCTCAGCGGCGCGGCATGAATATGAATTTTAACGTCGACAGAACGATGGTAAACAAAAATTCCCTCTCTGGTTTGCAGCGCGTTGCTGTGCCGCCGCCGCCGCCGCCACCACCGCCACCGCCTTACTCTTCGGTGGCTAGAAAGCCATTTAATCAGGCGATAGCCAAACAACGCACTGTCGTGAACAAGAAGGACAACGCGAGATACAGGTTCAGAAACACCATGGAGCTGCGTTCCACGTTGATAAACTGAGCGTGTAGAACCAGAAGCCACTGTTGCGTGGCGCAGTAAGGAAGCCGGGTCGTTTTTCCTGGCGAGTCACAGAATCACGACCCACATTGCCACATTCGTCGAACCCTTGCTGGTGCATGTCTGGTGGTCGTTCGGTGCCAGCGCACAGGTCTACGAATAAGTGCGATGTCCCCCGCGTTGCACTAAATGTGCGAACGCACGGTCGGCGATTTTTTACCCAAATGACGGCTTGTTCATAACCTTTAATCGGTGGTGAGAAAAAATTCGCTCGTTCTTGTTCGTTGTAAGAAAAAGCAAACACGTACCGAAGCGAAATTAATAGTCCTGCAATCGGAGTTGACCGGCAAAATAAACAAGCGCGAGAAACCGACAATATACTTAGCCGGACGATGTCGGTAATACTGAAGACCGTCGAAGAACCGAAGCTGGCTAAAGCCTACGGACAGAAATTATATAATATTTGGCCACAACGACCAAACTATGCTAACAGCGTCCTGTCGTCATCATCCTCTGACCGAAAGGTAGGCAGCTTGATCAAAAGATTTAGCCACCTCTACATCATGGTTCGGTACGAACACGGACTACAGTCCTTTCAACTAGGC